TGTGATCACTATCATTACTCTTGCCCCTAGCAGCTGTCGGAGAACTCAGGAGTTGGATGAAAAGCTGCATTGCCTGAAACTAGAAAGTGGGAGACAAAGGCTTGTTTGGGGCGGAGCCCAGACTGCACAGCAGGAGGAGCTGCCCCAGGCCTCAGCGATACTATAATTAGGAGAGTTGCATTTTCATTCCGTTTTCAACAATAGAATGGACTAAAACCAGTGATGGGGAAAGCCTTTAAAAATTAAACTATTGAGCCCTTGTCAGTGCTGCTATTTTAATTATCGTCTGGTAAATATGAAAGGGGTGCACAGTCTGTGTGTTGGTCATTTGTCTGAGTTTGCCTGTCCTCACGTTTGGGAAATAAATGCCAGTAAAGTCAAAGGGCAGTGCTGGAGGGCTCTGGGGACTGGACGGCGGGCTGCATCACACCTGCTTGGCAGGGAAGGCTCCCTCCTTCCCTGGGACCCCATTCCCCGTTCTTCCCGCCTATCCTGCTTCCAGGGAGGCTGGGAGCAGGAGGCCAGACCACTGTGGTGTGAAGGCACAGGGGTGGACCAGACCCGCTAGGTTTTTAAGGTCTGGGTCACAAACATCGAAAGTTCAAAAGCTGCAGGCTACTGAGGGTTACAGCTTCTGTTCACTCCAAAGCCTGAAGTCAGTCCTGAGTCTGCTGAGGCAGGTGAGGGAGACTTGAGGGAGGGCCGCTGTCTCTGGGGGGACCCTCCTGAATGGGATTAGTGCCCTTATAGAAGGCGCCCCAGACAGACCCCTCACCCCTTGCCCCATGTGAGGACACAAGAAGGCGCCATCTATGAACAAGGAAGTGGGCCCTCACCAGACACCGCACCTGCTGGTGCCTTGATCTTGGACTTCCAGCTTCCAGAACAGTGAGCAATAATAAATTCCTGTTGTTTATAAGCACCTTGTGTACAGTATTTCTGTTATAACAGCCCAGCTGGTGTTTAATGAACACCTGGAAAACAGGGCGGTCCTCAGAGAAAGATGGAGCCTTGACCGAGGACAGAGGAACAACTTGCAGGCTCTCGCCAGCTGGAGCTTGGACGTGCCGACAGTACCAGATCCTAACCCCAGAGTGGAATAAATACTGAGGAGTCCACACGGATAGAAATACATAGTCGGATAAGTGGGGAGACAGGGCTGCTCTTCCTGATGGTGGAATTCCAACTAATAAGCGTGGAAGGAACTAGAAAATCACAATTGTCTGTTACAGACAAATCCACAGATAGCCGCCAAAGGCAGTGGGAGACTGTGAGATGACACAGATTTGCATGGTCTCAAAACATCTCCTCCAAGATACTCGTATTAGCTTTCTGCTGCTGCCACAACAAATCTCAGACTCAGTGGCTGGAAAGTACACATGTATTCTCTTCCTGCTCTGTGGGTCAGAAGTCCAGCCTGGCCTCACTGGCTAAACCAAGGTACCTGCAGGGCTGGTTCTTCTGGAAGGTCAGGGGAGAATCGTCCTTTCCCAGCGTCTGGAGGAACCTACATCCCTGGGCTCTCGGCCCGCCCGCTGCTGCCAGCCAGTGAGGAGGGTCCGGCCTCTCACCCCAACACTGACTCTCCTGCCTCCACTCTTAAGGACCTCGTGACACTGGGCCTGTCGGATAATCCAAGGCAGCCTCCCCGTTTTAAAGTTGGCTGAGGAGCAAGCTTCCTCCTACCGGCATCTTAGTTCCATTCCCCTTTGCCATGTAGCCAGACACGTTCCCAGATTCCACGGGTTAGGACGTGGACATCTTGGGGGGCAGCCATGCTGCCTCTCCCAATATGTATTAACTACAAAGGGAAAGATAGTTTAAAAGTGTAGAAATCGGGTCAACGTCACCCATAACAGGACATGCTGATGTCAGGACCCCTGGGAGATAATTCAGCAAGGACACATGTCATTTTTCTAGTACTCTTGCCAAGAATGCATAACCCAGTCCGATCATGAGAAAACATCAGACAAACCCAAACTGAGGAGTTCAAGACCAGCCTGAGCACAAGCGAGACCCCGTCTCTACTAAAAATATAAAAATTAGCTGGGCATGGTGGTAGGCACCTGAAGTCCCAGCTACTGGGGAGGCTGAGGCAGGAGGATGGCTTGAGGCCGGGAGTTGGAAGTTGCTATGAGCTAGGCTGACACCAGGGCACTCTAGCCCGGGTGACAGTGCAAGACTCTGTCTCAAAAAAAAAAAAGTGGAGCCTAACTCCCCTCCCTGGGAGGGTGGGCGAGCTTAGGGACTCACTGCTAACAAAGAGAACGAGACTTCAGGGTCAGATTGTGCATCTTCCTACCTGCTCCTTCTTGGACCACTGGCTCTGGGGGCCCAGCCGCCATGTTGTGAGGACCCTCAAACAGCCAGGTGGAGGGTCCACGCGGTGAGGGACTGAGGCCTCCTTCCAGTCACCATGTGCTCAACGCCCTGACTATAGCCCTGGAGAGCCCCTGCTCCTGACCTACAGGCACTGAGAGATGACTTTGGTTGCTTCCCCCGCACTTATCAAGTTAAGGGGTAATTAGTCGGCTCAGCCTGGCGTCCCGGCAGGGGTCCTTCTGTGCTTTCCTTTGTTAAGGTAAAGTTGGTCCGTTTGTGCAGGGTTTCTGTCCCTGTCTGATGCTGGAGATGCCACACAATGACTGTCACCATCCCCCTAAGATTGAGCCCTGGCCTGTGGTCAGCCTGGCCTCGTGAGGGGCCAGGCCCACATGTGCTTGCGTGCGGTGTGCACGTCTGCGTACCGCAAACACAGGCATGCAGAACTCACACCTTATGAAAATATTTCCAGCAGTTTCTCCTCTCGCCCCTGCCACGCATCATCTCCTGTGGACCTCTCCCATCTCCGCTTCTTCAGGGGCTGTGTCCTGGGTCCCGACTCGCCCACGTCTCCCTGGACTGGGGAAGGAGCGCTGATGGTGAGAGCTGACCCGGGGCAGGGGGCAGGCCCTTCCCAGGGCCTCAGCCGGGCAGTGTGGACGTCCACCACAGACCTGCCTCATTCCTGTCCCCTTTTCTCCTTTTGTTACTCCAGGCCCCATCCTGGTCTAGACCCTCAAGGAAGACTCATGGCCCCAGGCTCAGTCCTGGGCCAGCAGGAAGCTCCTTGGGAGGGGCTGGGCCCTGAAGGGCAGCAGGGCTGGCCCCAGCTGGCCCCACCCCCAGCAGTGGGCCTCACCTGCTCCCTGACCCTGACCCCTTGGGCTCCGGAGAGGAAAGTGGGCTTGCATGTCCTTCACCTGCTCATTTCTGAAAACCACCACTGTCACTAGAACTCATCATCATGGTGATAAAAGTGAGATTCATAACTGGCTCCAGCCTGGAGTTCCACGTGGAGCAGAAGCTCTGTGAGCCCACAGCCCACTCCCAACCCCACAGACACAGGACACACACTGGGACAGTTCAGCCACTTCTTAAACACACAGGTTCTCCTTTAATTGTTCATTGATTTAATTTTCAAGTTCACTACGTGGATGAGATGGGTGCATATTATACTAGGCTTCCGCTATGAGAGAGCTGCTACCCGCGAGATTTCCGACCCTCAGTTTCCTTCCTGCTTCCCTTTCTGCGTCCCACAAAATGCCCACGTGGGCACAGCTGGGTTCCAATCCTGGCTTTTTGCTCCCTCCGGAGGCTGTGTTGGTGGGGACTGGGATGGGGCAGTGGGTCCCTGCGTACCCCTAAGCCCACTGTAGGGGAAAGGATCCACCCACAATCTCTGGCTTGGCTCCAGAAGACCCCTGGCAGTGCCCCTGCCATGGAATTTCTGTAGGATGGAGGCTGAGGGTACAGGGGCTGCAGCCGCCTGGTTTCTGGGGCCCTGGCTTGGTCCATGAGAGAACTTGGAGTCTGTCCCCTTCACACTTTACACCAAGCAGACGGGCATCAGGGACCCTGCCCTGATATTCATCTGTGGGTGGGGCTGCCATGGAGAACGGGGTGTTGCGGTGGCACAAAGACAGGCTCCCTCTCGCCCAGGCTGGTGACCATCCTCAAAGGCCAACATAGGGGATCTGCAGACCCCTGAGGTGAGGGACAGGAGCCCAGCCTAGGAGGTTGTTGGCAGTCGAGGCCTAGGGCCAGGTGTCCGACCCACAGCCCTTCCCTCGAGGAATTTCAAAACTGGACCAGATGTAGTGAGGGGCTGGCTTGGGAACCCTGCTCCCTGCCCTTCCGACATTGGAATCATCCCCCTTGGGGGTTCCTAAAGAGGACTTGCGGCTGCCACTCACACCTGCCTGGAGGCCAGCCTGAGAACCCAGGGCCAGGAGCACCATCCTAGGGGAGCAGAGGGCAGGGAGGGGGCCAGGATTCCAAAGGGCTGTGAGGATGGGTCTTCAAGGGCCTATGCAAAGCCCTGGGGGAAGGGGTGGCGGGACTGTCCCACACAGGTACCTGGGCCAGGGGCTCTTCGGAGTGGGTGGGGCCAACAGGGAGCGTCCATGCTGCCCACAACCCTCTAGACCACCACAGCAGCCTGCTCATGGGTCCCTGGCAGAGGATGCCCACTCCCAGCAGACTCAGGCCAGGACGTACCCCCCAACCGAGCCCCGTAAAGATGACTGCAGGCTCCCAGGAAGGCCCGAGGTGCCCACCTCAGGCCAGGTGGTCAGCGGACCCTGTGCAACCAACCATATTAAAGAGTGCCGCAGCCCCCACCCCCACCCACCAGTTTCAAAAAGCTCCTGGCACGCAGGCACCCAGGGCAGCCTCAGTGACAGGGAGACCCACCTGCCCAGCGGTCATTCTCAGCCCAGCGCTTTCCTCCACGGCCACTCCCCTCCCCGCGCGGAGCCCTCCCCGCAGGACACCCAGGTGCCTAGGCCCCGCCTGCTGTCCGGTGGGGAGCTGGCTCGGAGCACGTGCCTCGGGACGCGGTGCTGACCAGGCAGCCCAGCGCCAGGCCCGTGAATCGCAGCTCCCCTGCGTTGAGTAAGGTCTCCACCGCACCCACGGAAACGGCCCCGGGGGACCCCGGCCACCGCCGGCCACCGCCCGGCCTGGCGTGTGGACTGAGGCCGCGTCGCACGCCTGGGGGCTCCGCCGGGAAAGCGTGGCCAGCTCGCCACAAAGACCGGACAGCTCGGGGCGCGGGAAGCGAAGCATGAAGCCGGGAGTGTGGGGGAGGGGAGAGGAACAAAAGTTGCATCTAGACAGGTTGAACAAAACGAAACCGAAACCCGAACGTGTTTTCCTCTCATCTCGGGATCCAGGCGCCACCGCCGCGTCCAGGGCCCTTAGCCGGACATCTCCTCCCGCTGCTCCTTGTTCCTGCGCACCTCGGCCGCGTGCAGCTCCTGCGGGGACAGGTGGGCGGGGCTGAGGGCGGGGCTGGGCCTGCGACAGGGGACGTCCCGGGGAGGACAGCAGAGGCCGCCCCAGGGGGTCCGGAAGAGGGCGCAGCGCCTCTCCCGCGGTCTGAGCCGGACGGTGGCCGGGGACCGGAGAGCAGGGCGGGCCACAGCACGGGTCCGGGGCGCGGGCACACCCCCCCGCCAGCCCCGCCCGGGGGCAGCTCGCCCCGCACGTGCGTGTTTGGGGCGCGCCCGAGTTAGCGCGCGTGCCCGCCGCCCGCACCTTCTCGCGCAGCCGCTCGCGCAGCGCGGCCAGGTGCGCCTCGCGGAGCTCCCTGCTGAGCTCCATCTTGTGGTTGAGCTTCTCCTCCGCCAGGCGGCTGAAGTTGCTGTTCTCCTCCAGCGCCTTGTGCAGCACCTCGCGCTCGTGCTCGCGCCGCTCCGCCAGCTGCTTCAGCACCTGCGCCTCCTGCGTCTGCACCGGGCGCGCGCGTGAGCGGGGACCGGGCCCGCACGCCCGGCGCCCGCACCTGCCCGCGGCCTCCCCTGGCGCCCGCACCTACCAGCGAGGGTGACCACCTCGTCCCGCTTTGCCTGGGACTTCCCAGGCTTTGGCACTGAAAGTCCCGCTTGCTAGGAGACCCCTTCGCGTCTGCGCTTTTGCCCCTAGAGCTGCCCCTCTGCTCGCTAGGCCCGGCGGCCCGCACGGCAAGGCAAGCCCTGTCCTGCTGTCTGCCCCTCTGAAGTCCAGGGAATACTGAGGGAGCGCAGGAAGTCCTAAACCCGTGGGCTGCCACTGAGCTCTCTCCGTCTCTCTTCCCCACACATCCGCCCTCTGAGCACCCAGCAGGTGCTTCGCACACTCCAGGTCTGAGTCCCCAGGGTCCCCAAGGGCTGCTGGCGCCACACTGCCTGGCCCTGCTGGGGAAGGGCTGCCTGGTGACCCCTGGGAGGAGGGCGGGATAGCTGCTGGGCCCCCACCATGTGCCAGTCCCTACTAGTTTACCCCATGCAGCCTGAGTTCCCAGGTCTCACTGGGACCTGCTAAGAGAGAGATCCAGTCACTTCCCTGCCCGATGGCCATGGGCTCCAGGGTGGCACCCCACAGAGCACAGCCTTCTCTCTGCGCACTTCAGTCTCACGCGCGCCAGTGTGAGGGGAAGCAGCAGGGAGGGGCCTGGAGTCCACCCCCACTTCTCCCAGGGCCCCACCAAGCTCCCCAGCAGCCCCCAACTCCTGGTCCTCAGATGCGAGGCCCTTCCTTCTCACTTTCCTGCCTGGGAGAGGGCTGCCCCCACCTCGTGTCCCCAGGCTCCACCCTGGAGACCACCACTTGACACCCACTAGCCATGCCCCAGGGTGCCGCCCCCCAATCTCCCTCCAGCTGGCTGCCATGCTGGGTCCCTTCCTCCTCCCATCCCATTCTGATCTCTCAGGAGGAGTTCCAAGGAGCCAGGAACCCCTCTCTGTCCCAGGCCAATGCTCTGGCCAAGCAGGGGGCTTGGGGCACCCTGCGCCTTGAGGCCTGTCTGCCATGGCCTGGAGTGGGGTGGGGGTCTCCTTGCCTTTCTCCGCTCCTCGGCTGCCTCCAGCCGTTTCTGCAGCTCCTCCAGGGAGGTGTCCTTCTTCTTGGGCGGGGAGGAAAGCACAGGGCTCTCCGGTGACAGGTCAGAAGGGGACTTGAGAATGACCTCGAAGCTTTGGCCAGAGGCCCGCTTGTCCAGCTGCTTCACCTCCATGTCTGCAGGGCAAGACCAGATAGGGGCTTCAGGAGGCCCAGCCAGAGGGGGCAGGCTGAGGGAGGGGTGCAGGCCTGAGCCCCCAGGACAGCCCTCCAGAACCTCCCTCTCTAGAAGCCAGCCAAGACAGGGGTGTTCAGAGAGGCCATGAGAGGCAGGAGACCAGGGGAGGTGGGCAGGCCCTGTCGGACAGGGCCAGCAGCAGCCGGGGCACACTCACCCCCGTACTGGTAGATGGTGTTGGGGTGTGGCTGTGTGTAGAAGCAGGAGCAGATGAGTGACAGCACTGACAGTTCCTTCATCTTCTCCTTGTAGGCTGTGGGCACAAGCCAAGCTGAGCAGGAGCCCTCACCCCCACCACCCAGTCCTGCCCCCCAGGCCCCCATTTTTCCCTCCCCTCCCTGCCTCTGGCAAGTCTCCCTGTGAGACGCAGGGCCACTCACCACGCCCTCTTTTGTGTCCACATCTCTGACCCTCTACACCTCCAGGCATGGGCTCTGACTCTCCCGGGCACAGCTCCCTTCTGGTTCTCTCTGTCTCTGCCTCGCTTCCCTCTCCCCCTTCTCTCTCTCTCTCTCTCTCTCTCTCTGTCTCTCTCAGCACGTCTGCGAGTCTCGCTCTTCCACGCTGGTCTGCGTCCCCGTGCCCATCTCTCGTTCTTGTCTATGCTTCTCCCTGCCTGCTGTGGTCCGAATGTTGGCGTTCCCCCAAAATCCGCGTGTTGAAACCCTGCCCCCAGGGTGATGGTGTTAGGAGGTGGAGCCGTTGGGGGTGATTAGGAGGGTGGGGCTCTCCTGAATGGGATGATGGGGACCCCAGAGAGACCCCTCGCTGGGGACACAGCGAGAAGACGGCTGCCTGCCTGTGTACCAGGAAGCAGGCCCTCACCAGACACACACTCACTGCCCACGTAAGGCTGGCCTTGGGCCACAGAAGCCACTGAGGACAAAGGGGAGGGAGCTGTCCGTTCAGCACCAGGGCTGGACCAGCCTTTGAGACCAGGCGCGCGTGAGCCACCATCTCAGCTGCCCACTGTGGCCCTGAGTCCTCTCAGAGGAAGGGGAAGATGCCTGCTCCCAGAATGAAAATAATTGAGCTCTTCATGGTCTATTCCCTGTGATCCACACTCCAAAGTGAGCCCAGTGCAGTCACCCTGTTCAACAGGGACGGCAGTGGGGCCAGGGTGCTGGGGCGACGTGGCCAGTGTTCCTGAAGTGCAGCCCCAGGTGCTGTGTGCTGTTCCCACCACACCAGCAGGTCCCAACCACGAGGAGGCTCTGGGACCCATGTGCCCGTGCCCACAGCGGGAGCAGGCAGAGGGCTCAGAGGGACCCTCCAGGAAGAGGGAATCCAGCATCCTTCAAGGGGATGGACAAGAACTTGGACAAGTGTTCACATGGAGAAGAAATCTTTGGATCAAGTGTCACAGAAGATGTTTTCAAACCGAGTTGATGTGAAATTGAGAAAACCGTTGGCGTAGAAACAGGACACCTGCAGAGAAAGTCGAGCCCTTTGTGTGAGCTGGGACCGCCCGGGACCATAAGAATGGTCTTGCTCTAAATTTCCTGGTGTCCCAGACTTTTCCGGAGAGAGCAGCACGGAGCGCAGCAGGCGGTAGAGGGAGCAGAAAGGAGCCCTACAGTGAGCAAGCACGAGGGAGAGAGGGAGAGCCTTTGGGGGAGGACCAGCCTCGGGAAGCAGGGCAGACACATGTTGTGGCCATTTTCGTCACGGATCGGCAGGGAGGAGTTCTCACAGGGGACTTGGGCTGGTTCATCAGGTTTTGTTTTTTTTTTACAAGAAAAACCTATTTGTGTATTATTAAGAGTTAGTTTTAAAAAGGAGGAAGATGCCCGGCGCAGTGGCTCATGCCTGTAATCCCAGCACTCTGGGAGGCTGAGGTGGGAGGACCATTTGAGGTCAGGAGTTCGAGATCAGCTTGGGCAACACAGCGAGACCCTATCTCTACAAAATATGGAAAAATTAGCCAGGCGTGGTGGTGCGCCCCTATAATCCCAGCTACTCAGGAGGCTGAGGAAGGAGGATCACTTGGGCCCAGGAGTTTGAGGTTGCTTTGAGCTGTGATGATACCACAGCACTCTAGCCCGGGCAAGAGAGGGAGATTCTGTCTCAAAAAAAAAAAAAAGGAGGAAGAGGGGTATACCCCAGGATGTGTGGTGAGGGAGTCAGAAGGTGTGACAGCTGTGGGTGGCAGCAGGTCAGGAGACTCAGCAAACGTTTGGAGAAGCCAGCCCTGTGCTGGGCGGGGAGGGGGCAAGAGGGAGTCTGGGCTGGAGGGGGACAGACCTGGGTCCTGAGAGAGGGCAGGAAGGAGGGGACTTGGCCCTTCCAAGTCCGACTCTGCCAGCACCCACCTCCCTGCCAACAGACCCCAGTCCCCAGTTTTGACCTTTCAGATCACCCTTCTCATCACATGTCAAAAACCCTGAATGGGTCTACCTCACAGGCCAGGACTCTGGGGCCTGACAGCCCCTCAAAGCTCTCTCTGCCATGAGCCTGAAATTTTCACTGGAAAAAGAGCTGCAGGTTCATCACAGAGGAAAAGTTTAGGGACAAACACCAGGGAGGCTTCCTTCCAGTTAGCTGTCACACAGCATGGGGAGGGTGGCCAGCAGCAATTTGGGGGGCAGGTGTGAGCACCTGCACCATCAGGAAAGAAGGGGGAAGGGGCTGCTGACATAGGTCAGAGCTCTTGAAGGTCATGGCTCTGACCAGGGGACAGACATAGCTCTGCATCCGATGGTCACGGAGCATCCCTGGTTTTGTTTCTTCTAGGCTGATGGCCCTGAGGCACTTCCTTCCCGAAAGACTGACCCTCGGGGAGCGGATCAGACCGGACTGCCGCAGGAAGGGCCTGGGAGGCGAGAGGGGCAGGCAGGTCAGGAACCAGCACACTTCAGAGCGAGTGAACAGGGGAAAGCCTGCCCGTGGGCTGGTGAAGAACAGGCCCAGGCCTGGCCACAGTGCGAGGCGGGAGGTCCTATGTGTATTTTCAGAGCTGGAGAGGCTTAAAGAGCGTGACTTCTGCCTCTCATTGCAGAGAAGGAGGCCGAGGCCCAGACCCATCTAGGCCACCTCTCCGTGGGCACAACTCGAGGCACCCCCTCCCTCCGGCTCCCTCCTTTCTAACCCCCGACCCAGGATTCTTCTCCTTCCCCTCCACTGACTGACTGCAGGGAATTGTCAAGAAAACAATTCTCTGCCAAAAGTTGGGTCGCTTTCATCTGTCTCCTCCACTTCATATTAGACGTTAAAAGTGCATATTGGCCTTTTGGATGGTCCGATCCTACATATGCAGGAGTAAGAAAACGGCACCAGGTTGGCCTATAACAGCACGGTAACAGTAATCGCTGCTCCCAGGGCTGGGAGCATCACACCCATCCTCCCAGCTGACCCTCAGGTCCAGCCAGCCAAAGCGGATGTCCTTATCAGCCTTATTTCTACTGAGGAGGAAAAGAGGTTCAGAGAGGGCAAGTGGCCCACCCAGAGTCACACAGCATGCCAGGGTAAGAGCCCAGTCACGAGCCTGGGCCTCTGACTGCACGCATGTTCCTGTCAGGGAGCCTCATTAGGGAGGCTCTCTCCAGAACTGGGAGGGCAGGGAGGCCACAAATGGCCACTCACCCCTGGAAGGGCCCTGGAGGTTGCTGCGGACTGCTCCCTGACAGACGGAGCTCACTGTCACCCAGGCTGCCCCTCTGTCACTGGTCGGCTGCCTCAGACAGTGCTGAGACAGCTGGTGGGAACCACCATCAGATCTGCCTTTCTCCGGGCAGGAAACTCTGGGAAATGTGGCTACAACAGTCAGGCTGCCTGGCCTGGAGCAGGCACTCACCTCTTGATGGGCAACGGGCCAAGCATCCCTCCTGAAATATCTCATTCAACCCTCAGAACAAGCCCAGGGCGAGGGATGCCGTCACTATCCTCTCCCTCCAGATGGGGAAACTGAGGCCCTGAGAGGTTAAGTAGCCTGTGCAAGGCCACACAGCTCAAGGAGATCGGACTGAGTTGCATAAGGAGCCGAAAATGAGCCAGAGCCCACAGCAGTGTGAGGGGCAGGGTGCCGGGAGGGCGCCAAAGATGGCCGGGCAGTGCAAAGCAAGCCCCAGCAGCGGAGCCCGTCATGGGGAGGCCCTGGGCCAGGCGGCCAGCAGGACCTGCAGCTGGGTCCCAGTGCCGGTCGGTCAGTGGAAGGGACAGAGCCACCCTCAGGTGCAGGAGGAGAGTCCCAATCTGCTGAGAGTCTGTCCCAGTGTCTTTGGGGTGTGTGAGGGGGAGAGGCACGGATGACGCCCAGATGGACAAGACCCTCAGAAAGCGTGTGGAGAGATGTCGTCACCGATACAGGCTGTCCCCTCCGGACAAGTACAGAGGTCACCTGGAGTCTCCAGCACTCCGGGCCTGAGGGGCGGGGCGGGGCACACGTGGGCGGGCAGAGTTCTGCGGGAAGCGGCCAAGGGGAGAGAACCCAGGTGGCTAGGGAGAGGGGACGGCGGTGACCCGTCCCCAGGGCAGAAGGAAAGGTGGGCGGGAGCGCACAGAGGGGCGATGGGAAGGAGATGAGGAGGGGCTCTCGGGCGGAGTGGGGCCCTCCGGGTAGGGCGAACCCCTGCACCCAGTATCCGCCCCGCGCCTGTGCCCGAGACCCGGCCAGAGCCCTCCCAGGACGCAGGCCAGGAGGGCGGAGGTCGGCAGCGCGGGGGACGGAGGGGCGCGGGAGGGGCAGACCCCTCTCATCTTGGGTTTGGAGATAGCAGCAGCCCCTCTCCAATCCAAACCCGGTGGTGCGAAGGGCGGCGGCTCTTCCTACCAGAGCAGGTGGCCCTGGCGTCGCGGACAGTCCCCAGCCCGCAGCAATGGGGTGGGAGGGGTGGCGCGGGGTCGGGGGACGACGACGCGAGACACTGGCGCTGCCGGGCTCTCTCCGCGCTGCAGCGGGCTCTGGTCTCCCTCCTCCAGCGCCCCGCGCTCCACTGGCGCAGAGACCTCCCTGTCCTCTGCAGGGGCTCTTGCAGAGGGTCCCGCCCTCTCCCCTCCTCCCCGCGAAGGCACAGTGGGACCAAGATCTAAGGTCGCCAGGCGTCTCAGGGGACACCGCCCCCACCCGCCAGCGCGCCCACCAGGGTCACGAGCCAGCGCCCCGGTCCTTGGGGCCACACTGCCGCAGTCGTCCCTGCCTGGCACAGCGGCGCCCGAAGGGCCAATGTGCCCCCGCGCCCCCGCCCCCATCGCGAGCGCGGCCCCGCCGAGCGGCCCACACCCGCCCTGCGGTCGCCGCAGTCCTTGCCCTGGGGGCACCGGGTCTCCCAGACCCGCGGCTCCTGCAGGTCCTGCCAGGCGCACGGCCCCAGACGGGAAAGCCGAGTCCGCAACCAGCTGCTGCGTCAGCCGAGGCCAGACAATGGCCCCAGCTCAGACCCGTCGCCGCCGCAGGAAGCCCGCGGCCGGGGCGCCTACCCGACATGGTGCTGGCCATGGTGCTGGCGGCGGCGGGCGCTGCGGAGCTCGAGAGACGCGGGCGGCGGCTGGAGCTGCAGTCGGCGGCTGCTGCAGTGCGGGGGAGGGGAGGGAGCGCGGGCGGGAGGCGGGGAGGCGAAGAGGGAGAGAGAGAGGGAGGGGTGCAGAGAGAGGGAGGGGTGCAGAGAGAGAGAGGGGTGGAGGGAGAGAGAGGGAGAGAGAAGCGCCTCAATGCGCCCGTCACCAGGAAAGGGCGGGGAGAGGGAGGGGAGGGGAGAGGAGGGCGGCGGGTGCCGCGAGATGCCCATCCTCCAACCGCTAACAGCCCTGGACCCGCCGCGCCCCCAACACGGCTTTGTGCGCCGGGGTGGGGTTGGGTGGGGAGGGGACGGTGGAGATAAGCCCCCATTCCCCAGGGTGGGCGGAGCAAGGAGGAGGGGAGGGGTCCACTGCAGGTTAGGGGCGCAGAGCCCTTCGCCAAGGCCAAGGCTGGGACGGTGCCTGTCATGTCCAGGTCCGCTGAGAGGAAAGGACGTCAGGTAACACAGGTGGGTGCTGGCCTGGAAGCCCTCCAAGGGGGCATCTCCTCTGGTCCCGGAGGATGGGCAGGCCCTGAGCAGAGAGCAGGCCAAGTGGAGGCGGTGAGGCTAGAACAGGGCTTTGACAGAGATAGAGGTGGGTTCCAAGCCCAGCTCCCACAGTCACTCGCTGTGTGGCCCGGCGTGAGTTCCTCACCTCCCTGGGCCTCTGTTCGGCGGGTGTAAGATGAGACAATGGTGCCAGGACCCAGCGGAGAGGTGCGGAGAGGTGCCGGAGCTGAGTGTGTGCACTCAGTGAGGTGGGGGGCACCTGTCCTGCCTCCCGCTGTCCTCGTAGCCCCAAAGGGAGCCTGGCAGACAGCAGGAGTGCCACCCGGTTTTAGGGATGGAGCCACTGAGGCCTAGCAGAGTGCTTGCCCCACAGACAATTGAGTCGTAGGGCTGGGATAAAACCCTGGGAAACCTCGGGAGACTTGCAGGGAGATGAGGCCAGCTCAGAAAGGCGAGAGCCGGGTACAAGCCTAAGGACCAGCGGTCAGCCTGGAGCAGACCCAGCAGCCAGGAGCACCCCATGGCCGGCCACGTTCCAAGGCGGCTACGGGGAGCGCTGCCCCCCTGGTGTGCAAGCCTGCATCCTCCCTGGGACTGTGAGTATGGTGGGTTTGATGCTTGGGATTAAGCTATATTGTGTGGCACAGTGGACCGTTGGGTGGGCCTGACCCAATCACAGGAGCCCTTTAAAAACGTTTTCTCTGGCAGGAGGGACTCAAAACCAGGAAGGTTCTCTGTTGCTAAGATGAGGGGCCACGTGGCAAGGATCTGAGAGCTGGCAGGGCTGACAGCCAGCAAGACAATGGGGGCCTCAGGCCTCCCACCACAGGAAGTGAATTCCACCAACAACAAGAATGAGCTTGA